AGTATGATTTTTTTAAATATTGTTTATATATATATATATATATATATATATATATATATAATAAATAATATTTATACTATTCTTCATTTTTTATATTATTTTATTAATTTATAAAATCTTTGTGAACCAAACTAAGGTGTTGATCATTCCACCAAAGAGAAAGATTCATTCAGGGATCAGGGATTTTTTTTACCCCAGAAATGAGAAATACTAAGCAATAGATTGTACTGATTATTTGTATACATATTTATTTTTAGTGTATTTTATCGAACTTGCGATCTGATCACCAGAAACAGATATTTAATAAGAGGACTAAGAAAAATGAAATTAAATTTTATAAAAAAGAAAATGTTTGTTTGCGCAAGCGGATTACACGCATAAATCCATGGATCTGCTGCAGTGAACACTGTAGGTTATGTGTGTGTGTGTGTGTGTGTGTGTGTGTGTTACCTGCCATGACGACAGGCTGTGTAGACTGATCCATCCTCACTTCCCACCACAAAGTTATTAACGTCACCCAGAGGGAAGGACATGGAGGTGACCGCAACGGATTTAGACTGCTTAAACACCAGCTCCATACTGTCCTGTTGACACACACACACACACATCAATAACACCACAGCCACCAGCCTCTTCCACAAAGATTTGTACACAAAATCCACTCTTTTTACTGGTTGAGTTAGCAAGTGGCTTTCTTTGAATGTGATATTCAAACTCTGAAACTATGATGGTACTTCTGAAGGTACGGGTCACGCGATGGACGGAGCAGAGAGCATTGTGGGTACCTGTGGTTGAGACAGCATGTCCAGACTCCAGGAGCACATCTTTCCATCAGTAGAGATGCTAATGAGGTTATGAGCGTTCTGTGTGCCAACCACATTAACACAGTACACTGGGTGCTGCACGGAGAATCAGAAATGTAAGGTTAAGGGTAAAAAATAATAAAACAAATCGGAAAAATAAGCAATATTTTTTTAGGACACCCTAATAATATCTCAAGGTTCTTGGGCTGCAGCAGCTGCTCAGCCTCATTTTCAGTACGGCGTGTGAACGTCACGTACCGTGTGTGCTGCGGCAGAGAGAGGCGTCCTCTGGGCAGGAGTGCGTTTGTTACTTCTGTTGTCCCACAGGACGATCTGTCCTGAATAAGTGCCACCGACAACCAGGTTAGGGTGAAACTTTGCAAACACAGCAGACATGACCGCAGACTAGAGGAGAGAGAGAGAGACAGACAGGGATAATCTCGATGAATTCCACAACCCTTCAATCCTGCTGGACAAATGCGAAGGAAGGAAGATTCACATGAATAACCAAAAAGTGTTAGAGAAGAACTAACTAACACCGATAATGCTACAATCCATGTTTTTGCCTACTCACTGAAATTGCCAGCTCATATGCTGCTTCTTGTTTAAAGTGTTTGTGTATTTAAAGGGATAGATGATCTAAAAATGAAAATTTTGTCATCAATTAAGCACCCCTATGTTGTTTCAAACTTACAAGATTTTCATTCATCTCCAAAGATATTTATAATGAAACCTTAAAATTTAATTCCAAGCTTTGATGCTTCAAAAAATTAATAAAAGTAATCCATATGAATCAAGCGGTTGCATCCAAGTCTTCTGAAGAGATACAATTGCTTTATTTGATGAACGTATTTAATTTAGACTTATATTCACACATAAACATTGAGAAACTCACATACATAGAGCTCATCAAATATGGTAAACAGAAGCTCATCTGTATTTGCATGACACACAAGAAGAACCTAATTCGTTCTTGCGGAAAAACCTCTTGTGCATCAAGCAAGTAAAGTTTCCCTAAAAGACCTTTCTTTTACAATCTCTCTAGGATTTTTTTTTTTTTTTGAAGTATGAAAGTTTTGGTGGAATGGGCTTTCAATGGAGGAACAGAAATCTTTCAGGTTATATTGAAAATCTCTTAATTTGTGTTTTGTGGATGAATTAAAGTTTTATGGGTTTGAAACGACATGAAGGTGAGCAAATGATGACAATTTTCTAGGGATGCACGATATTATCGGAACATTATCGGAATCCGCCGATAACGGCTTTAAATGTACACATTTGAAATTTTATGCCGAAAAATAATGCAGATATGCCTTGCTGATATTACAAATAGTTTACATGTGCTCAGGGTGTACTAGCGATAAGATCAAGTGTGGTCATTCTTGAAGCAAACTCTTGCCTGAGTGAATGACGATTAGATTCACTGTTTTGAAGTTAACAGTTACCAGTGCGTGCAGCAGCAGCGGCAGCCTCCCCCGGGGCCTAATGTGCCTCCGGTAAGGCGTTTTATTTATTTAGGGGGCGCTGTAGGCCGGCTTGTAATAAAATGAATCAGAATCAGAAAGAGCTTTATTGCCAAGTATGTTTGCACATACAAGGAATTTGTTCTGGTGACAGAAGCATCCTCTGTAGTCTTCTAATGTCTGATTTTGTAGCTGAGCCAAACCAGACAGTTACTGAAGTGCACAGCACAGACTCAGTGACAGCGGAGTAAAACTGTGTGAGCAGCTCCTGTGGCAGGTTGAACTTCCTCAGCTGGTGAAGGAAGTACAATCTCTGTTGGGCCTGTGAGTGTCCCACTTCTGGTCCTGTGAGATGGTGGTGCCCAAGAACCTGAATGACTCTACTGCAGCCACAGTGCTGTTCATGATGGTGAGTGGGGGGAGTGCAGGGGGGGGGTTCCTGAAGTCCACGATCATCTCCACTGTTTTGAGTATGTTCAGCTCCAGGTTGTTAAGACTGCACCAGACAGCCAGCTGCTCAACCTCGCTTCTGTAAGCAGACTCGTCACCGTCCTGGATGAGGCCGATGACTGTAGTGTCGTCTGCATGCCTCCGGTAAGGCGTTTTATTTATTTAGGGGGCGCTGTAGGCCGGCTTGTAATAAAATGAATCAGAATCAGAAAGAGCTTTATTGCCAAGTATGTTTGCACATACAAGGAATTTGTTCTGGTGACAGAAGCATCCTCTGTAGTCTTCTAATGTCTGATTTTGTAGCTGAGCCAAACCAGACAGTTACTGAAGTGCACAGCACAGACTCAGTGACAGCGGAGTAAAACTGTGTGAGCAGCTCCTGTGGCAGGTTGAACTTCCTCAGCTGGTGAAGGAAGTACAATCTCTGTTGGGCCTGTGAGTGTCCCACTTCTGGTCCTGTGAGATGGTGGTGCCCAAGAACCTGAATGACTCTACTGCAGCCACAGTGCTGTTCATGATGGTGAGTGGGGGGAGTGCAGGGGGGGGGTTCCTGAAGTCCACGATCATCTCCACTGTTTTGAGTATGTTCAGCTCCAGGTTGTTAAGACTGCACCAGACAGCCAGCTGCTCAACCTCGCTTCTGTAAGCAGACTCGTCACCGTCCTGGATGAGGCCGATGACTGTAGTGTCGTCTGCAAACTTCAGGAGTTTGACAGAGGGGTCTTTAGAGGTGCAGTCGTTGCTGTAGCGGGAGAAGAGCAGTGGGGAGAGCACACATCTCTGAGGGGCACCAGTGCTGATGGTGCAGCTGTTTGACATGAATCTGTCAGAAAGTTGATGATCCATTTACAGATGGAGCTAGGAACAGAGAGCTGGGTTAGTTTGGTCTGGAGGAGGTTTGGGATGATGGTGTTGAAGAGCGAACTGAAGTCCACAAACAGGATCCTCACATAAGTCCCTGATTTATCCAGATGTTGTAGAATATAATGCAGTCCCATGATCACCTCATAATCCATGGACCTGTTTGCTCGGTAAGCAAACTGCAGGGGATCCAGTGATGCAATTCAGATAAGCCAACACCAGTCTCTCAAATGACTTCATGACCACAGATGTTAGGGAAACAGGTCTGTGGTCATTAAGTGCTGTGATTTGGGGTTTTTCTTTTGGATGGGGATGATGGTGGAGCGTTTGAAGCAGGCTTCATGAGCTTCAGTGATCTGTTGAAGATCTGTGTGAAGGGCCAGCTGGTCAGCACAGGTTTTCAGGCAGGCTGGTGAAACACCGTCTGGGCCTGGTGCTTTTCTTCTCTTCTGTTTCCTGAAGACCTGATGCACATCATCTTCACTGATCCGAAGTGCAGGAGGGGGGAGAGGGGGGTTGCTGGAGGTATTAATGTTTGTGTAGAGAGATGGTCAGAGTGGGTGTGGGGTGTGAGACCGGGAGTTTAAAATCTGCTGTAAAACTCATTCATTCTCCACAGTGCTGGGGGATGGTGTCTTGTAGTTTGTAATGTCTTTCAGGCCTTTCCACACTGAAGCAGGGTCGTTTGCTGAAAACTGGGTTCTCAGCTTTTTAGAGTACCTCCTCTCAGTCACACTAATCTCCTTTGTCATTGTGTTCCTGGCCTGATTGTACAAGATTCTGTCCCTACTCCTGTAGGCATCCTCTGTGGCCTGAGGGAGCTGTCTGAGTTTTGCAGAAACACGGTTTGTCATTGTTGTATGTTAAAATAAGTCCTGGTAGGACTCACAGAAACTGATGTATGATGTTACAGTCTCTGTGAGTTCGTCCAGATCGGTGTCAGCAGCTTCAAAAACACTCCAATCAGAGCAGACGAAGCAGGCTTGTAAATCCCGCTCTGCTTCATTAGTCCAACTTTTTAGTTAACAGGTTTAGCGGATTTCAGTTCCTGCCTGAAAAGTAAAGTTTCTTTCTGAAAAGTAAAATACACAAATAATATGAAGATAATTGTGTTTCTAATAAAAATGTTGCTTTGATTTAAAGGTCAGAAGCTTACATGAAAAAAAGAAATCACAAACATGATATTTGTAAATTAAATAATTTAATATATACAGATTTATTCATTAATATGTAATATATTTTTATTATGAAAACTTTAATACTAGGAGCTCTAAATGATTTTTAGAATTTATACAGCTCTTTTGCTTTAGACGATTAATGTTAAGTCCACAAACAAAATGTTAAGGTTTCAACTGCATCGGTCTAAAAAATGAATTAATAAATAAAATTAAATAAAAAAATTAAAAAACAGCAGAGATTGATTTTATTAGTTATTTTCAAAGCTGTTAATGTACTCTCATTAAAAAAGCACCTTAATAATGTTTATCAGTTCTAACAAATACATTTTTGCTCAAAACTAACCAAAAATTTAAAAAATATTTGTTTATAATTTCTGCACAGGAGGCACTTCTTGTTGTTTCAAAACAAAAGGAAATATATATCGGCATCGGCTATTGGTCAAAATTATGTGAAAAATATCAGCATATCAGATATAGGCAAAAATCTAATATCATGCATTCTTGGAATTTTTTTTTTTGGGGTGAACTATGCCTAAGTATTTCTTCACTGTGCTTTAAACACAGAATAAAGTGTCCAAATAATATACTGTATAGAATATAAAAATATAAAACTTTGATAGTTTTATTAAAACGATTTTTGCTTAGCTCATTTATTTTATAATATTTGAAAATGGGGGAGGTAGTAAAGTAACCAAGTAAAGTTTGACAAGTGACTTCACACTGCTGCTTCTCAGTGGTTCAGCTGATATTTTCTCAGCATGTTCTGTACCTTCTTGTTTTGGAGAATAGTTTGTGAGCAAAGCTACATTATAAAAGCCTCTGAGGTGCATCAAGCATAAATGCAGCTTGTAACTGAGTGATGTGACCTCAAATTCCACCATGACACCTCAAAACACCAATCCAATGTACATCACAAAACAACTAAATTTAATTTTTACACCAACAACAACTAATGATGCTGATGCTGAATTTTGTTATTCACTGAATAAACTGAACAACTCACACACTCAGCAGAAAGATGGAAAAAGTAACAAGTTCACACCTTGAGTTTTCCACATCTGTCTGTGTGTGTGTGTGTGTGTGTGTGTGTGTGTGTGTGTGAGCTGTGCATCCGTTGCTGAGGGCCGCACATGTGGTTCTACTCAGGTCGTCCACAGCAGATCACCTCAGGCCAAACACACAACTAACACTGAACATACAGCAACACTCAACTGATCAGTGAAAAAAAAACATCCAAAAGAAATGAGTTTGTGAATGAATGTGCATGTGCAACACAGAGTTTAAAGGAATAGTATCATAAATGAACATTGTTGTGAACACACCCAATGTTGTTCTAAACCTGTATGACATTCATTCTTTCATGGAACACAAAAGGAGATATCAGACAGTTCACATGCTGTTTTTTTCTCCATACAATGACATTTTATACTTTTACAGATATGACCACTATATGCTTTTACTGCATGGAAAAGAGAAGTTTGAACGGTCTTCAAAACCTCTTCTTTTGTGATCCATGCAAGGAAAAAGTAATGGCTTTGTGATGACATGAGAGATTTTGAACTATGCCTAAGGTATCACAAGTGCGGGGCTTCCATGTTGTTGTTGTAAGAGGCGACCAGCAACTCTGGATACTGTGAACACATGTACAGATCAGGAGAACTAGACGTTTACTATCTAAGAAACACTTTTGCTTTCCCGCATTAAGTGTGGTTACAGCTTACTCTGACCAAGAACCACCCGCTTACATTTACTTATTTATTTTTACTTTTTTATGCTGACTGTAACAAATGTGCACAGAAAAAAAACCCAAAATAACTGTCATAGGGACACAATTTTATTTAAAGAAAAAAATATTTTAATATTTATTATTTCACACTTTAGTTCGGAGACCAATTCTCACTATTAATTAACCGCTTTTTCTTTAATAAACTCCTCATTTGCTGCTTATTAACAGTTAGTAGTTATGTTTCAGTATTGGGTAAGATTAAGGGATCTAGAATACGGTCATTCAGAATAAGGCATTAATATGTGCTTTATAAGTACTAATAAACAGCCAAAATGTAATATGCATGCTAACGAGCAACTAGTTAATAGTGAGAATTAATCCCTAAGCTAAAGTGTTACCTTGAATACTATATAATAATATATAATACTTAATAATAATAATAATTCAAAATACAAACTAAATGCTACCATAGTAGTAGTTGTACCCAAAAAAGAGAAAAAAAAGCTATTATCATTTACTTTGTCTTTACTTATCATAAACATATATGACTATGACTACATAAAACTAATAGACAACCCCTGTGCTATATTCAGACTGAAACGCAAGTCATATATGTTTGGAATGACATGTTGGTGAGCAAAAGATGACATTTTTGGTAAAAAAGCATTGCTTTTCCAGAAAGAAAGCAATTTTTCCAAAAAGCTGAGGAGTAATATGACAGTGTTTTTTACTCATTCTTATAAATTAAGACATTTTTTTGTTTCATTTGTGGTAATGTAAATTTAAGCATTAAGTTATTCAATAAACAGCAATACTGAAAAACAAATGTTAGTAGTCTAGCTATTTTTCAAAAGGGTAATCTGACTGAATTTTAAATCCTTTGAATGTAACATATGTCATTATTCAATCATTTATATACTTTCTTATGTCCTAGTATCATATGCAGGGACAATTAATACGGCTACAAAGCCGTAAAGTATCCAATGAGCCACTAATTGCATGACGCCAGAAATTTCTCATGTAAACTCACACTGACAGCATTGTTTCAGTGTGTGGTTTGTGCTCTCACTCAAATCACACACATCTGTTTGTGCTGTGGACACACATGAGGTGCAGTGAGCTTGAGAGGGTTTATACTCTAGATCTATTACATCAAACTAGACACAGCAAGACATCCAATCATCTGTTTGATACGGCGAAAGAAATGAACTTTGAAAAACACCTCTAAACACACAGCCAATGTGAAATATCTTCACATTCATATCTAAATGTTATACATCAAAAGCATGTTCACCAGATGAGATTTGTGTTTTGAGGATCAGTGTTATCTTCAACATTTCTGTCAGTTGCAGACAAATAAGCAGCAGTTTTGATAAATCGTAAAACTAACATATTGACAAAAAATATACTTCAATCGTCACTTGATCCACGCCTAATGTCATGTGCTACGTCATATTATACACTACCGCTCAAAAGTTTCGAGACAGTACAATTTTTTTATGTTTTTGAAAGAAGTCTCATGACCAAGGCTGCATTTATTTGATCACAAACACAGAAATAACAGTAATATTGTGAAATATTATTATTATTATTATTATATTTCAAATAACCGTTTTCTATTGCAATTTATATTTTAAAATGTAATTTATTGCTGTGATCAAAGCTGAATTTTCAGCATCATTACTCCAGTCTTCAGTGTCACATGATCCTTCAGAAATCAGGAGGTAACGTACCTGTGGGGACCAATCCAGACAGGTCACCACCCGCTGTTTGGACCAGTGATCATCAACAAACTTCCTGTTTAGAGACAGTTTGGTCCCAGCCTGCATCTCACTAGATAGATAGATATACACACACACACACACACACACACACACACACACACACACACACACGCACAAGCAAATATCTCACATTAAACAGTGCACATGAGCTGGTTTGTAATTTTGTTTAGGTGAGTAGGGCTAACTGTTACCCCTCCTTCTCCTCCATGTCACGGCCGCTGTAGTCGAAGAAAACATCCACGTGTTCGGACAGAGCGCGCTCCATGAAACGTGTGCTGTGATCGAAGAACTCCATGAACTCCTCCGAGTGCAGAATCTGCAGCTTCTCCTCCTCTGTTAGCTCATGAGGGGGCGCTACACTCACGAACAGACAGGACACAATGACAGGTGTGTAACTGGAGGAAATGAATTCCATTTATACATGAGAATTGTTGAATTCTTGATTCTAGTGGTTGACAAATATTCCAAAGTATTTAATTAAATCGTGTTTAATTTTCCTGTGAAGCAGTTCCAGGTTTGTTCCAGTCAATCCAGTATTGAGCCATGCAAAACTGTAGGAAATTGTAGGAAAGTAAATCTACACAAAAGATTTTGAAAATTGTCTAAACGCATGCATATAGCAAAGGAGCAACTGTGGAAAAATTGATTCTGAACCACTAAACTATTTGAAAATGTAATGCATGCTCTGGGAAGAAACATGTTGAAGCAGGTGCATTAAACTGTCAATATTTCAATGATCTGTTGTGATTGTTTTCCTTACATAAAGTTCCCAGCTTGTGTTACCATTACACCAACATTCATTTCTGTGACAAACACTGCGAATAGTCAGAACTTCTATGAAATGCCTACTTCAATCATGAATAACATAACATCAACAAATTTGTTAGTTAAACAGGCAAATATATAAATGGTTAAAAACATAAAAAAAATTTAAATTAAAATTAAACATTTGCCAAGGCAACATTTCTCATTTTCATTTAGTTGAAATTGAAATACTAAAAAGACTGAAATCATTAAAAAAAATAAAATAATGACAAACACAAAATTACTAAAACCACATCTGAAATCTAAAAATTTAATTAAAATGATTAACAAAAACTATGACAGTAAATCAATGATACTAAAGTAACACTAATGTATTACCGTGGAGCTGATAGGACACTGTACATGAGGTGTGTTCAATACCTTCCTCATCTTGTTTCTCTGCTGGCTTCTCTTTCTCTGCCTCGACGTCAGGCGTCAGGGGTGCGGTCTCTTCCTCCTCATCTTCCTCTGCAATAGGAAGATCACAAACATCAACATAATTCACATCAGAGCTGCAGTACGGTCTTATTATAGGACCCATGTTTCACACTGTTCATACTTTACACTGGGTTAAGTTTTTTTTTTTTTTTTTTTTTTTTTGTAAACTGTGGGTTAATTGGTATTAAACTACTCAAGGTAACATTGCAGCACTGCTTTCCTTCAAATTGCATACTTTTGGCACCACAACTCAGGATTAGCAACACCCAACATCTAGTCAGTGTTCAGCAACTTAGCCTAAGGACAATATGAACTATACTGCATAAAGTCAGCCAATCATAACAGAGGTCATTGACATATGTAAATGACCTCTTAAAGGCACAGTAGCAGTAGCTTTTCAATTCTAGGGTCAGACAGTGTGATAAACGTCATGAAAAATTTAAACTAAAAAGGTTTTTGGTGCAAGAAACTTGAGACTCCATGAGAAAAATACCACTGTATTTCAAGAATTCAGGGTGATACATACAATCACACACACAAACTCTCTCTCTCACACACACACACACACTCACTCTCTCTCACACACACACACACACGCACTCTCACACACACAAGCGCTCTCTCTCTCTCACACACACACACTCTCACGCACACACACACACACACACACACACACACACACACACACACACACACA